GGAGGGGTGACACAGACAGCCCTCGATCTAACGTCGTGTTGGGCACAAAGGAGTAGCCTGGTGTGACATATTATATCAATAGGCAGTTGTCATGCAAAACCAGTCTTGAACCTCTGTAATAGCAAGCTGTCGAGCCTGGATGTTGTTTCTGATTCCACATAATCTGAATAATTCATTCCATTCATTATCGTTATCCTTAATACAATTGTTATCTGACAAGCCAGTCGCAGTGAACCTTCAAATCATACATAACAGCGGGGTTTCACTGTTATAGAATGGTGACTTAAAGCTCGTATAGTCAGCAAGAGTCTAGTGGTGGGCTGTAAAATACTTGTCACATACGAACATGTGATGATGCCTCCATTATGAGAGTCTTTGTGAGAGTGACCGCCTCCGTGGTCTAGTGGTGAGCGAGAGCGTATGTATTTATCATGTATGTGTTTACTTATAGCTATGTTATTTATGTATAATGTAAAGCGTTGATAGGGGGCACGGGTGGCCCAGTCGTCTAAGGCGCCGCGATTCACTGAGCAGAGTTCCATCCCTTGGAAACGCCAGAAACCTGTGATTGTGGGTTCAAATTCCGGTTCGCCTCAATTATGTTTCTAGGTTTGTCAGCACTATACCCGTGCTCGTGGGTTTTACCGAAGTGGTAAACGTCTGAGACCTGCATCACTTCGGGCTTTCCTCCCACATTAAGCTGACACGCCGTGATATAACTGGATTACTGTTAAAAGCGGCGTTAAACCCAACTCACTCGCACACTCACAAAAGCGTTCATGTGTAGGTGAGATGAGGTGAAATGGGGTTTAACGTCGCGTTCAAGATTATTGCACTTATATAGCGACGTGCATGTACGTGTGTGTGTGTGTTTGTGTGGCTGCTTGTACTAGTCCGGACTGATGCCGGTTTATAGTGCTAGCTCACTGAGATACCATGCCACAGTCTAACATGAATACCCCAATCGGACACGGTATACTGACTCCGAGCCGACTAGTCCTTGTTTTAGCCCCTTTAATGCCGAGCGCCAGACATGGTAACAACAAGTACCATCTTTTAACGTCTTTTGGTATGACGCGGTCGGGGATCGAACCCCGGACCTTCCGCTCTCCGGGCGGATGCTCTACCACTAGACCACGGAGGCGGTTCGTTCATGTGTATGTTTTGTGTAACACATAATGCGTGTTTGCTAAGATTACCAGTTTTACCTAAGTGAGTATGTTTGTCTTTGTATTTGTATTTAGATGCAGGCATCATTGTCTTGTCAGTTTGTGTTGGGTGAACTCAGTTTGCGCCCCGGTTTCATCATCAGGGTATGCTTGTATTTCTCTTGTGTAGTAATGTAATCATTAGTTGTATTTAGCATATCATCACATGTAAAGGGATAGAAATGCATATGCAGTTATTGTGACCTATAACACATTAAATGCATTTGGGGCGGTCGGGTCGCCTAGTGGTTGAAGCGTTCGCTCGTCACGCCGAAGACCCGGGTTCGATTCCCGACATAGGTACAATGTGTGATGCCTATTTCATGTGTCCCCCGTCGTGATATTCCTGGAATATTGCTACAAGCGGCGTTACACAATATTCACTCACTCACTTCAATGTATTTTGTTAAAAACATATCTATTTCTATGATGTCATCGGTTTGACGATGTGACTGGACATAATATAATATGACTGCATATTTATGTCTGTGTATATTTATATATAAATATATATTTAAGTGTATATTTATTATTTTAGGTATATGTTTCAGGGCGTTTGTTCAGACCGTCAATAAATCCTCTTCACATACAACAACCCGTGTTATTTGTGAACAGCCCCGGTTACACATGTACATGTGTATATACACATAACAGAAATGTAACTCTCTTAGTATTTACTTCTATCAAAATATTTCCTCGACTCTCAATGTTCAAACTGAAACTGCTTCATACTTTTTCTGCGTGGCTGAGTGATCTGAGTATTATCTTCGGTTTTCGGATTTAAAGAACTTTTTATTCTCACTACATTATGATTAATCATGCACCATATTAGAAATAGCACGTATCTAAATAACTTGACTAAAATATATGAAACCACTTTAAACTTGTCCGTTTACAACATAACATTGATGTGAGCATATCAGGCGACTCGAACTTGGCCATCAAGTCATGAATATAAAAAAATATCTCGTTACATGAGACGGCAATAAAAACTGAATCCTTACCATGTCTTTATGTGAATTTCAATCGAGTATGAAACTTAAAATAAACGGCACAGTATGAGAGACACAGATGAACAGCTATTTTGTAAAAGTGAGTGAGTAAGGTTTTACGCCGCCTTTAGCAATATTCCAGCAATAGCACAGCTGGGAACACCAGAAAAGTGAATCTCTATCACTGTACCCACTTCCGTTGTTTCATATTCTGTGACGCCCCAGATACACTAGAAACCACCTTGTTTCTGGTGATTTCATCAATGTCTCCTTGCTTGAAACGATGGTTTTCCCATACAACGAGTGACTGAATAAGTGTTGTTTTACGTCACATTCTGCAGTATGCCAGATTTATCGTCATGTTCGTCTTGGCATGGCAACCAGTGGTTGACATCATGAGTAAGGATCATGCCGTCGGGGTACGATGACACAAACCAGGATGGTCACACTTGTTACTGTGACTCCATACTCACTCACTCACTCACTCACTCACTCACTCACCCACCCACCCACCCACTCACTCACTCACTCACTCACTCACTCACTCACTCACTCACTCACTCACTCACTCAATGCAACCGGTCATCTTGTGCTGGACGTAGCATTTGACACGCAACACGGCGGGATACGCTGTTTTCTTATTCTCACTGCTATGAATAATAATAATAACCATAATAATAATAATAATAATGATGATGATGATGATGATAATGATGATGATGACATAGAAGAACAACAACCAACAACAAACAAACATGTGCACACCATATCCACTCCCTAAAGCATGCTCAAAGCGCTTCATCAGAGGGTCAGTGTGCACGCGAATTTCATTCTCAGCTCCCTGGGGAGTATACAACCCAAGCTGCCTTATGACGCCCTAGAAGGTAAACAATCAAAGTATTATCTCATCCAACCGGGTACCCATTCACTGCTGGTTGAACAGATTCATATTCATATTCATACCGCGGACGGTGATAGTTTGTTATAGAAACCTCTCTAATGTTCTCGTGCCGTTATACTGGTGAAGGCTCTGTGTAGAACTTTCAGTAGCTAGTTGGGCTGTATCTAAGGGGACAATAACGTGTTATCGTGTCTCTTCATTACATCGGAACCAGCTTTCATGTGAGGATCACTCATCGTCCCTGATTCCCTGCCTAGCCCATCTCGGAAGCTTGACCACTGTCGCCACTGAGTGAATATATATTATTATCACTGACTTTTGCTATCACCACTGTATTTTTGTATTTGGTACTGACCACTGCAATTATATATTGCCATTGATTATTGTACTACAACTCTATTGTTTACTGCCATTGTAATTGCTTTGCAGTAATTTGTATTGATTTGTAAACTTAATTACTATATATTGTAATACATTTGTTGATTGTATACTTCTTGTTGGTTGTTGATTGGTTTCACAAACAGTTCTTTTACGTACAGATTTCGGGGTTAACACATTGTTTCAATTTGGCAATCAACACTAACAAAGAATAGAACTGTTTTGTTTGCGTCTAGACTGAGTTTAACACTCACTCACAGGAACTCACTCTTAAAATCATTGACAAAGCATTTGAAGTGTACATCAATGAATCTTCTTGCTGCTAAGTTAGATATATTTAGTATAGTGTCTGCATCAGCCTTTGTTCGACACCCAACACGAAGACAGTGTGTGATATGAGGTTCTGGTAAGGACGAGTTGACAGTTCAAGGAACATGAGGCTTGGGAAAATTAACATTCCAGGCAGGTTTGAATATGTCCCTCGATTTTGTGCTACACCATATGTAAGAATGGGTATATTTTGTATAATCAATGTGTACCTAACAATGCAGATTCGTTTTCAGTATATATACTTCCTAGACTCAAGGATATTTACTTACATAAATGGTCATCGCAAGTTCAGAAAAATGCAATTATTACAAGCTTTTTAAGACAACTATTCCCCCAGAATACTATTTGTTTGATATCAATTTTAGGACAATTTAGATGCAGCTCTAATAGACATAGGATCGAAGTAGCCAGACATAGAAACAGAGCCAGAGAATTGAGAATATGTCAGCAATGTGGTTAAATGTGACTGAAGATGAGTTTCATTTCTGTTGGTCTGTCCAAAATACGACCATCTAAGACTAAATATATTGAACTACATTTTTATGTACATCCAACTCAACAAAACTTTATATCGATCATGTCAACAACTGATAAAGATACTCTAAAATACTATCAATGTTAATTTATCATGCTATGTTAATTAGATTACGACCTGTTAAACATATCAGCACCCACTCTCGAAAACAGAATTGTACTATGGGCCTGAGGCCTTTCAGTATGGAATATAACTTATCCTTATCCCTATCCTGTAAGAAAGAGTGCGTTAGTTAGGTTTTACCCAATGTTCAAGCAATACCCGACGGGACACTAAAAAAAGGGCTTCACATCTTCCCCATTTGGGTAATCAATACTAGATCTCGCCGGCGCCCCATTAACTACCAGTGGTCACACACGACTGTTAATGGACACAATCTTACAATGTTATCAACAGAGGCTGTTCAAAATATAGTTAATGAAAGTGGAAGAGATATTAGTTGTACTGTAGTGTTATAGAAATACAAGGTGTAAAGGTTATTGATGCAAAAACGTGAGGAGAAATAAAATAATTGTGAAAAAACACATTTCTGTAGACAAACCCATTTTGAAGCAGGCAAACTATCACAGGTCACAAGAAATAAGTCACGTGACTCGTTCACCCGAGAGTCGATATGAGGAAATGTTTTGAAGCCACAGCACGCGTGTGTAGCCATGGGCGACGTGAGGGTGTCTGGAACAATACTGGTATTAATGGTATCCTATTGCTCTGGTAAGTAGATTAATGCGCACAAATAACAATTTGTCCTGTTCATCACATTACGTTACATTTACATTACATTATGTTCAGCGTGTGGTTTCGAATTAAACAAAAGAAATATCGAATCAAAGTTCAAAACCTGTAATGATAACACAGGTGGTTTCCATTCTAACAAGGCAGAATTAGGAGTTTTCAGGTATCGGATGACATTTTCTGTAGGTTGCAATGGCGAATTTGGGATTACTGAAGATCGGTTTTAATCAAAATCTATATTCGCTTCATGTACCCAAACCTAAACCTTCCCCATAATACTTGAACTACTTCACTGAGACGCAAAAACATCATCTAGGCCGATTTCCTGTTAGCATTATTCAATTTAATTCACTTCAATTCAATGGTTTATTTTATGAAAGGCCATTGGCCCATATACAAGTGAGTTACATAGACATACAGTTACTTTACCAAATATTGTAGTATACGGACTATCAAGACAACAACAACTGATAAACACAAAAGCATGGTGAATGTATAAAGATACTTGTAGTTGATCGCTACACGTTTTGCTTGACAGCAGACATACATTCAAAGTTATTAGTAGATATACATGACAATAACCAGGCGGGTAGATATTTCATTCTTCTTTTGTTAAATATCTTCCTCTATTTTCTGTTTAATCACTCAGACCAAGCCTAAAGTGTATAAATGTATTGCGTTGGTGTTTGCATCTTAAATGTGAAAGATACGACTCTGGTTCAAGGAGAAACTTAATATTACGATATGTGTCGTATATCGAACTACCTGAAAGTGTAGAATGCCAATACTGTCGGAACATATCAACATATCAATATATATAGTGGGAACCTCCCACATTTACCATAAACCATATTACTGGGAGTTGACATGCCAACATTAAGAAATCTTTTGTGAACCTTTTCGATAGAATAAAACTCTCGACAGCCCCATAATTCTTCGCATTACAATAAGATCGGATGTATTTGACAATCAAACAGGTTAAAGAAAATGTGAGGTCTAACAACGCTATTGTTAAACACAACAGACTGCAATTGAAAGAAAGCTTTCTTTGCTCTTTTTGATAAATTTAACAACGATTTACTTAAGTTTAATGTACTTGTGACTAATATTCACGCCGCTTTCAGCAATATTCCAGCAATATCACGGCGGGGGACACCATATTTCAATGAAACAATCCATGCCACTGGTAATTACATGGTGATACGGTTTTGAGGTCAACTGTATTTGTTATGAACCGGTAGTGTTTTGAATATGCTCTCTCTATATCGCAGTATGGCTCTGGTATGGTGAGTCAACTCTTCCCTCACCCGAAAGAATTAACTTATTTCTTAAATTTTCGCCGTCCATCTGTAGTTCGCGCTTTTTGAAAAAAAATATCAAGTTTGACAATTCAAATGTGTTTAGAAACACGGTCGTATACATCAATGCGTTCTTCAAGTGAACTGGAAGCAACTATATGCTACTTATATCTCTGTGTTGCATATATGATTAGATTCCACTATAGGTCTCCTATAAAGCGGGGAGCTGTGTTGATGTTTGAGAAAGTACATGGCATGAAAATCTGCGACAATGGCAAATAATGTCAGACTTTTTTGTATAAATGCGTTTCAAATATTAAATCTGCTTATACCGTGATTTATGCAGCATTTATAATTTGAAATAGGTCATTATTAAAAGTGTCTTTTAATTACAATATGACTTTATGCACAGTATTCCGTATCTAAAAATAGACGCCCTCATGCATATTCATGACCATCTCCTTCGGGCTCGCGTGTGGAGATGGTCATGAATATGCATGAGGGCGACTATTTTTAGATACGGACTCCTGTGCTTTATGTGACGGTTGCTTACTTATCTGCAACTGCTTTCCTCTTGGACCCTTTTCAAATATTTCAGTTTCTCGAGTTTTCAGTTTGCTCTCAATAGTCGACCAGACTATGTTTAAATGTTGTCAAATATTTGGTGTACATCGTCAAAGCCTTGAGACTGTATGTTAGCCCTTTGGTTTTACATTGTACGTTTTGACCACTTTGAATAGGTAATCTGGAACCTCTCTTTTTCCTTCTGTTTCATTTCCCAACGGATGCCATCTGGGAAACCTGCGTGACTCTCTTATTGCCAATGCGACGTTGAATATATACTCACTCTTCACACTGACGTTGTCCTGAACTTCCCTGTTCCTGAATTCAAAATACAAATCAATAATCTTTGTGAAATGAGCTCATGCACTTTTTTCTGTTATACTTCAGGTTCCATCATTTGTGACAAAGTGGATGTGACAAAAGTAGAAGGGGACGTTATTAGCGTTTGTTACAATCAGGGTAGTAAAGAGATCAAGTGTCCCAGAAATGAATCAGTGTTGGTCAAACACTTCTTGCAAAGAGTACCTGTAGGTAAGGACAGTGATGACAGGGGTGGACGCTACAGATCCTGTGAACAAAACTTCAATGATGAATATTATGACGTTGGGGAATGTTTATTAATAACGTCGGGTGTGCATCAGAAGAGGGCTTATCAGGCAGCGATCACGGAGGTTTTGGAGGAGTGTAGTCAGAAGAGGTACTGTATCCTGGAGAGTGACACGAGTTCCTCTGTCCATGGTCTGAAGGACCTCCCAGTAGGAGAGAGAAAGAAACGCCCGTCACATCTCGTTGTATTGCATCAGTGTGTTAAAGGTAAAGAGCGTGATATAGCTATGGAAATGTTTAGTGCAAGTTTTAATGTTAAGAGTATGCTCCACGTTGTAGACGTTGTGGTCCTACCCTCACCACTCACATTTGTATATTCTGTTTCATTCCTTTCTGCATTCATATTGTACACGTAATAACAGACTGACCTAAAACATGTGACGACACTCCAAAAGGTTATTTGTTTGGTTAACGCTGTCCATGGTCTGAAGGACCTCCCAGTAGGAGAGAGAAAGAAGCGCCCGTCACATCTGGTGGTAATGCATCAGTGTGTTAAAAGTAAATTACAGCCTGCCATTTACAGGGACATATACTGAAGATTTTAAACTTTAAGCGAGACTATGTTCCACGTTTGATTTAATTTGGTCCATGTTACCACTGAAACAACGTCTATGTGCACTAGTTTTCAAGGTGATGCTCATTACATAGATTGGCTCACATACTACAATAGTGGAATCTGAATGTCACGAAGTAAACGTACCGAAACTGCCAGCTGACCAGACTATTCTAACCATTCAAGTCTCTATGTTGCTCTCTGTTTTATTTAAGCATTGTATATTTCCGAAGGAGTGTATGCATGAATATAGATAATTACATATACATAGTTTCAGATGTGCGTACTTATATTCACATATGCAAATACGACTATAATCATTGATTATATACTTTCCTACATATCACGTTTAGAGCAAAGCATCATCCCTTGTTAACAAATCAAATTTATGACTCCTCATACAATGAGTGAGTGTAGTGTTATGCCGCTTTTAGCAATATTCCAGCAATATCACGGCGGTGGACAGATTGTACCCATATCGGGAATCGAACCCGGGTCTTCAGCGTGACGGGCGAACGCTTTAACCATTAGGCTACCCGACCACCCCTCCTCACGAAGAACTTATCAATCGTGATATGACTTTTCAGAGCAAGTTGCCAGTGTCTTGTTGTGTGACAGAAAGACCGAAACGGGTAAGGAGGTCTACATCAGCAGCAACCGACTGAAGATGTCATCTCGGGAAACAAGCACCTGCACCTGTACAGTCACTGGAGCTGCGAGCCACGTCACCTTGCTGGATGTCAGACTGGGCAACAGCAACGTGACCACACTGTCCATCAGGGACAAGACACGTACAGTGTACACAATCCAGGGTGGCGACCTGGCAGTCCACTTCATGAAGGAGATTAACATCAGCCAATCAGAGTGGAGTTTACAGGTGGATGTTATCCGAGACTATCTCCCTGACAAGATATGGATGAGACTGGAAGGTAATTTTTTAATAAGGCACCTTAAATGACAAAACGTGTAATGTTATCATTAAAATTAAACGTCTTCGTTAATTAATCATCTTCCTTTTCTACAGGACACAACGGCTCTGACGTTACAGTCACATGTAAGGGTATGTCCTTTGCTATTTCTACTTGGAGGGGCGGTGGGGTAGACTAGTGGTTAAACCCGGGTTCGATTCCCGACATGGGTACAATGTGTGAAGCCCATTTCTGGTGTCCCCGCCGTGATATTGCTTAATGGTTGCGTAATGCAATACTTACTCACTCACTCACTCACTATTTCTTCTTGTCAATATATGTTCGCTCACTCATTCAGCATAATTATTCACCAAATTAAGCTGACATTATTTGAAAGTTAGATTGACATCAACGAAAAAACGAAACGTTATAAGTATCAACGTACAGTGCAAAGGAAATGAAACATAATCTATCATGTATGTATAAGGTATGGTAACTTACGGCGAGCTGATTGGGTGAGAATGCGATTGTTTAATCAAATATATACTCTATGGTCTGTTGGAGAGACAATTTTATTTATTCCAAATTCACCAAGTTATTCTTCTTCCATATCGGATTAAAACAGATGAACCGCATCAAGTGAAAGTGATACTGAAAGGAGGCACCTCTTTCTCAACCATAATAAATAGGGAGATTCCAATAATGATATTAGCTGTTGTAAGTTGCAAGCAGCGGAGTTGAGGTTCCTAGACCATTCAGGGCATGTTGTATTTGGAGAGGAAACAAAATGTGAATCAAAATATATTGTGTATGTATTACAATGTTTATCGAGCATGGTTCAATGAATACATTCTTCTGACATCTTATTTATTTTCTTTTGAATGAGAAAACGTCAATTGGATAGAAAAACATAGTTTAAAACTTGAGTTTGTCAAACTGGACGTCTTTGTCCTACATTGTTATTGCATTGATCTATTTGCCCCCATATCATTTTTTGAAAATTGTTTCAGAATCAGAGACTCATGACACACATGTGGCGCTACGATCTTGGTCAGGTGAAGAGTGTTTGAATTATTAAGAAAATAGTACTATTGTATTTATCACTACATCTGTGGCAGGTGGTTAATATCTACATATTTTACAAGTACATCATGAACGCATCTCGGTGGGGGGGGGGGGGGGGGGGGGGGTGAAGGCTGGAATGGGCATAGATTAATGATTACTCATTGAGGCATTGTATCTCGTAATGTCACGCCAGGTCAACACTGCAGCTATACTCGATGATTCTAGTAAATGGGATATTTTCTGTGAACTGCATCATGTTGGGGTCTTACGCGTGAAGTTGTGTATTCAGTTGTTTGTTTGTTGTTTAACGCCGAACTCAGCAATATTCTAGCTATATGACAAGCATAGTCGCCTTTTACGGCAAACATGGGTTGCTGAAGACCAATTCTACCCCGGATCTTTACGGGTCTAATCTTTCCCCAGGCACTCCGACGTCTGTTTTGTCCTGGATAACATATTTCTATTGTTTCCTTTTCATTGCAGGTGACACCCAGATTGTGTTTGTGTGTGTTGGCTTTGTCACAGGGTTTGTCTCTGTTGGTTTCATCATGGCTATTTATGTTAAAAGGTAAATAATAAAAACACGGGCTTGAACTGGTATTTGTCATAATGTAAACATCTTGTGAGACATAACAAAAGCAGAAATACAACAATATTATCCATTCGTTCTGAAAGACCCTGCGCGTGACTGAGCATTATCGTGTTTCAGGAGGTCAGCACACGCGGGCTCCACGTCCAACGAAGGAGGCGATAAGGGCGTGGTCTACCACTCTCAACCGGATGAGTCACGTGTCCAGCAGCCAATCGGATCACCAGAAGGGTTTGCTGCTGAACCTCACTACCACATGCCAGATGACCCACATGACCAGGGAGCAGCAGGATGCAATGATTACTACCTGGTGCCTGTTCACCGACAGACACGATGAACCAGTCTTGCCAGCCTTGCTGACATAGTGTCAATGCTTCGTCTTGCTTTGTTTATTGCACTATTATTAAGGAGACAGTGTTTTTACAGACCATTTTGCATCTTCTATTGTCGATATCGTTGGTGACCACACCTGACATTAACATTGATAGCGTCATCTGATGGAATGTGGAACTCCTCATCCATGTCATTTGTAACGTTTACATTTTTACGTGGTGACCATTTAGTGATATTTACATTGTATGGTGATGTCAAATGGGGTTTTTACGTCGCGTTCAAGATTATGTTTACTTCAATTTTAGACGTGCATGCTTTGTTTGTTTATTTGTTTGTTGTTAAAAGCCGAACTCAGCAATATTCCAGCTGTATGACGTCGATCTGTAAATAATAGAGTATGGACCGGATAATCAAGTGATTGACATCATGAGCATCGATCCACGCAATTTGGACCGATGACATGCATCAACCAAGTCAGCGAGCCTGACCACCAGATCCCGTTAGTCGCCTCTTACGACAAGCATAGTCGCATTTTGCAGCAAACATGGGTTGCTGAAGACCTATTCTACCCCGGATCTTCATGGGTCTCGCCCTCTAAGAGCGGCGGTGTAACAACTCAGTTAACAATGTCAATATCGGATGTTACAACTATTTTAGTAGATATTGGCAAGGCAGCGGCGGCACATAAGAAGTGGTCAACCTACCTCGAGGGGTACATGGTGTGATGTGCCCTGTGTGTGAGCCAATGTACACAAGGTTCATCATACCTTATGCCCCGTGAGATCGGGTGACAACGAACAGGCCCGGAATATATGTCCGCCTTTTTACTGAGTTAGCCAAACTCGAAGCAGGAGGACGCAAACAAACCGAGTTACTTGCCTTTACCCAAGCATTCGGTAACTCAACGATACTCGAGATATGGAAGTTACCTACGATGTGTTCAGATTGATTTCTCAATCTCATCCGAACCATCTTCTATGTGGGAGAGGTCTGGAGAAATAGCCGCCCATGGCAGTACGTTGTTACTTGTGAACAGAATGTTTAGCGGGTGGAATGTTCAGTTCGTTGTTGCCTATGTACAGGATGTTTAGCTAGTGGAATGTTCAGTTCGTTGTTACCTGTGTACAGAATGTATAGCTGGTGGAATGTTCAGTTCGTTGTTACCTGTGTACAGAATGTATAGCTGGTGGAATGTTCAGTTCGTTGTTGTGTATGTACAGAATGTTGAACTAGTTGAATGTTCAGTTCGTTATTGTCTGTGTACAGTATGTTTAGCTAGTGGAATGTTCAGTTCGTTGTCGCCTATGTACAGGATGTTTAGCTAGTGGAATGTTCAGTTCGTTGTTGTCTGTGTACAGTATGTTTAGCGTGTGGAATATTCAGTTCGTTGTTGCCTATGTACAGAATGTTTAACTAGTGGAATGTTCAGTTCGTTGTTGTCTGTGTACAGTATGTTTAGCTGGTGGAATGTTCAGTTCGTTGTTACCTGTGTACATAATGTATAGCTGGTGGAATGTTCAGTTCGTTGTTACCTATGTACAGTATGTTTAGCTAGTGGAATGTTCAGTTCGTTGTTGTCTGTGTACAGAATGTATAGCTGGTGGAATGTTCAGTTCGTTGTTACCTGTGTACAGAATGTATAGCTGGTGGAATGTTCAGTTCGTTGTTACCTGTCTACAGTATGTTTAGCTAGTGGAATGTTCAGTTCGTTGTTACCTGTGTACAGAATGTTTAGCTAGTGGAATGTTCAGTTCGTTGTTGTATGTGTACAGAATGTATAGCTGGTGGAATGTTCAGTTCGTTGTTGCCTGTGTACAGTATGTTTAGCTAGTTGAATGTTCAGTTCGTTGTTGTCTATGTACAGTATGTTTAGCTAGTGGAACGTTCAGTTCGTTGTTGTGTATGTACAGTATGTTTAGCTAGTGGAATGTTCAGTTCGTTGTTGCCTATGTACAGGATGTTTAGCTAGTGGAATGTTCAGTTCGTTGTTGTCTGTGTACAGTATGTTTAGGGTGTGGAATATTCAGTTCGTTGTTGCCTATGTACAGAATGTTTAACTAGGTGAATGTTCAGTTCGTTGTTGTCTGTGTACAGTATGTTTAGCTGGTGGAATGTTCAGTTCGTTGTTGTCTGTGTACAGAATGTATAGCTGGTGGAATGTTCAGTTCGTTGTTACCTGTGTACAGGATGTTTAGCTGGTGGAATGTTCAGTTCGTTGTTGTCTATGTACAGAATGTTGAACTAGTGGAATGTTCAGTTCGTTCTTGTGTATGTACAGAATGTTTAGCTAGTGGAATGTTCAGTTCGTTGTTGTCTATGTACAGAATCTTTAGCTAGTGGAATGTTCAGTTCGTTGTTGTCTGTGTACAGTATGTTTAGCGTGTGGAATGTTCAGTTCGTTGTTGCCTATGTACAGGATGTTTAGCTAGTGCAATGTTCAGTTCGTTGTTGTCTATGTACAGAATGTTGAACTAGTTGAATGTTCAGTTCGTTGTTGTCTATGTACAGAATGTTTAACTAGGCGAATGTTCAGTTCGTTGTTGTGTATGTACAGAATGTTTAGCTGGTGGAATGTTCAGTTCGTTGTTGTCTGTGTACAGTATGTTTAGCTAGTGGAATGTTCAGTTCGTTGTTGTCTGTGTACAGAATGTTGAACTAGTTGAATGTTCAGTTCGTTGTTGCCTATGTACAGGATGTTTAACTGGTGGAATGTTCAGTTCGTTGTTGTGTGTTTACAGTATGTTTAGCTAGTGGAATGTTCAGTTCGTTGTTGTCTATGTACAGTATGTTTAGCTAGTGGAATATTCAGTTCGTTGTTGTCAGTGTACAGGATGTTTAGCTATTGGAATGTTCAGTTCGTTGTTGTCTGTGTACAGAATGTTGAACTAGTTGAATGTTCAGTTCGTTGTTGTCTATGTACAGAATGTTGAACTAGTTGAATGTTCAGTTCGTTGTTGTCTTGTACAGAATGTTAAATAGTGGAATGTTCAGTTCGTTGTTGTGTATGTACAGAATGTTTAGCTAGTGGAATGTTCAGTTCGTTGTTGTCTGTGTACAGTATGTTTAGCGTGTGGAATATTCAGTTCGTTGTTGCCTATGTACAGGATGTTTAGCTAGTGGAATATTCAGTTCGTTGTTGTCTATGTACAGAATGTTGAACTAGTT